TCCAGTCAGTCAGTCAGTCAGTCAGTCAGTCAGTCAGTCAGTCAGTCAGTCAGTCAGTCAGTCAGTCAGTCAGTCAGTCAGTCAGTCAGTCAGTCAGTCAGTCAGTCAGTCAGTCAGTCAGTCAGTCAGTCAGTCAGTCAGTCAGTCAGTCAGTCAGTCAATCAATCAATCAATTAGCAAAAGAGCATTGTTTGTTGATCAACTTTCGGATCTTTATAAAAGCGGTAACGAAAAAAATGCCATCGGTTGAATTGAATGATGTCATCAGTGATCTCAACTTTTCAAATCAGCTTTTGAATCACTAAAATGCAGTACATACACACTTATGTTGTATTTTTTTTTTAATTCTGGAGACTTCATTGCGTAACAATCAAATTCTCACAGATTATATTAAAATATTAAAAATAAGAAGACACTGCTGGTGTAACATATGAGTAATTTAGTTAGTATAAATTTGTCAAATGTATTTAGCTAGATTTTACTGGAATATTTTTTGCTTTCTTAATTATTTTGTTGCTGCATACTGTGCACACTTTATTTTCTGTTTTATTTTTTGTAATTTATATTGTTATATTCTTTTTAAAAATTTTGATAAAATTTAATGAAGTTTTTGAAAGATAAAAACATGGATATATTATATATATCCATGGATAAAAAATGGCGCCAGTCCTTAAAGGGCACTGAAAATGTGCGTTGGCGCGTTCGAGGGCCTTAAAGGTATCCTAAGTATATGATGGTTTGATATTGTCATTTTGTTTATTTTTTTATATACATGTTTTTGATTTTCTATATATGGTTTTTGATTCTCTATATATGTGTTTTGTGATTCTTTATATATGTGTTTTTTGGTTCTGTAATATCTATGTATTATTGTGATGGGTATTTTATGTTGTATTATATTCTATGTTAATTATATTCTATGTAAATATCGTTGTGACCACTAATATATATATATTCTACGTAACATGTCATATATGTTATATTATATATATATTTTATATTTATCTATGGTTGTGATTGACGAATTATCACCCGTTTAAAGTTTCTTGGAAAGAGTTGGGTTCGATTGAAAATCATTTGCAGGTATGTCATCCTCCAATCGTCTGCTGTGTGATATGGAAACGTTAAGGTTGGAAGCGAACCTCAACGAAAACGTAAATTACAGTCGTCAGGATGGAAAAGACGAACGGATGGAATTGAAGAGGAGTTTGTTCCAGAGAATCATTGAGGCTCCCACCGCTTTCTTCAAAAATCAACAAAGAGGCGATCCGGATTTGAGTAGCGAAGAAAAATTATTCATTGTTGAAAATCTGCACGATCAAAATGTCAAAATATTCTTAGGTTTGTCATTTAGTTGGTTGGTTATCATCACTTGTTTGAATAAAATAAATTATTGATTATAATTTCTATTTTCTATATATAACTGTTATATTATAACAGAAACGTTATTTAATGATAAAATAAATTTTGTTTTTAACTAAATATTAAATTGGCAAATAAAAATAGAATAAAATAACATAATTGAGTATATTTATTTTATTACATCTATTTAGTTCTAAAAAATTTAAAAGATATGAAATTAATTGATAAATTTATAATTAAAGAAATAATAATAAATAATTATTTCATTTGAAATTGAACAAACTTACAAATAACATGATGATATTTGCTAATGATGTCTTAAAACATAAAAGTTAAAAATTCTGCCTACAGACAGATACAGTAAATTTTTCACAATAAATGATCTGCCATACTTGGACTATATCTCCTGCCAGAAGGACAACTCAATCATCGAGACCCACAAAAAACTCATCATTAGTCGATTGATGGGTGGTGGTTTGTCGAGGAGAACGAGCAGACATTCGAAAGCAGAACTCTTGGTGAAAAATCGTCGATACGAGAAGATGACAAGGTTGGAACGAGAAGGGGAATACTTCAGTGAGGAGGAAATGAAGGGCAGGAACCCGCTAATGTACGAGCAGATGATTGGCAGGTATCTCAATGATGAGGAAATCTTTGCTAATGTCAAAGGTGGGATATCCTAATTTTCAATTAAGAATTAACCTCTATTTATTTTATTACCATTTTGTATTATTCATGAAAATTAAATTTTTTTTTGACATTTCTTATGTGATCATTCAACGAAATGACAGTTGTGTTAGATTAGGGTCTGTCATAATATTATTTAGATATATATTCATTACACATATATATATATTTTACTATATGTATATATATGAATATATTTTTGCAATATTCAATAAATTCTACCGAATGTTTGGTGTTAACATTTGGTAGAATTTATAGAATATTGTAAAAATTATGGTCTGTTACCAACATATGTATATATATATATATATATATATATATATATATATATATATATATATATATATATATATATATATATATATATATATATGTATGTGTATAAATGGCATTATATTAATATTAATTTAATTTTCAAACTCTCTGCAGATAACATTCGTGGAATGAATGGAGCAGTTAGTGAAGGTTGTGCCACATCAGCTAACCACAACCACACAGCATCAACAAACAGTAGCATGACATCAACAGACAACAGTAACGAGCAAAAACAACACGTCAACAACACATCGACGGCTGCAAATAACGCTGTTGGCATGTATTGTAATGATGCCATGTGTGTCGATGACTCAACTGACAATAGTAGTACTTTCAACAAGGGTGTCATCAATGACAACAATGTTGATAACAGCAACAGCAACAACAGTAGTAACATCAAAAACAGTATCAGCAACAAATGCAATGGCAACCTGCAGAGTCCCATGTTGTCGACTCTCCTATTGAGACATCTGCAAGTGATGCAGAACAATGAGTTGTACGCCAAGCAAGTCATGTTCGAGGTCTGGTGCAGTTTACCTTGTTGCATTATTTCTGTATCATCAGTATCATTATATTGTTATTATTACATATCGTTACATCATCTATCATATATCAGTATATTATTTTCGAGGTCTGGTGCAGTTTACCTTGTTGCATTATTTCTGTATCATCAGTATCATTATATCGTTATTATTACATATCGTTATATCATCTATCATATATCATTATATTATTTTCACTATTGTATCAAAATAAGTTAAGTAGCATGATATCTATCTATTTGTATCAAGTTTTGTTTTGCAAGTTGATGATAATTAAGCTCACTTGAAATAAATGGAAGGAGACTTGAGAGGAAGAAGCTACTGACCAATGAGATGATTGGTTTGGTACCCTTCTTTGAAGTCCAATTGTTAGGAAATGATTGCAGGGGTTAGTGGGTTGCCGGGGTGAGCGGATTGAGAGAGTCTGTCCATCTTGTAGGTGAAAGAATGAAGATTGAATGAAGAGATGTTGAGCTGGTCGGGTAGAAAGAATAAAGAAGAACTCTGATCTTTCTGGGGTGGGTGGGTGAGAAAAGATGTTCTGCATTTTGAATCCAAATCATGTGAAAAGTTAGGAAGTGTACTGGCTGGTAGCTGGTACATGAAGGTCATATGTTATCAAAGATTTTAATTTTTATTGCAGGAAAGTTGCACAGAAGAAGTTGAAGAAGATGATGAGGACGAGGGTGATGAAGAATTTGATGATGATGATGATGATGATGAGAAGGAGAATGATGACACCTCGATGAAAATAGGAAACAACGAATCTAGCAATAAAAAAGGTTACCAACTTTTGTTGACATTTTTTTTTCTCATCAGTGACACACCATTTTTGATATTGCTGACTTTTGTTACTAATTATTCGTTGCACACCATGACCTGGTTTGGATGCAACAAAAACCTGCGCCAACCACTTGTTCAGATGCACGATGATTCATTTTTCAAGTGTGCATGCGTGTGTGCATATTCTTCTTGGCTTATTAGTTGTTGCAAGCATCATTGAATGATTGGTTTGACAATTTATGATTACTAATTATTAATTATAAAAATGGTGGATCTAATGTTGTGACATTAGCAGGTAGGCTGGTGATCAGTGATGGGGACAAGTTAATGTTGAGGAATGAGTTTGTATCCAGCATGAAGCAGCATTTCCTCGATGGCAAGGATGATTTCGATTACAGGTTGGTGCCTGTCTGGTTCGCTGTTGCTGTTGTGTTGATGTTGGCTGTTGTGTTGTTGCGTCAATTGTTGTGCTGTTGGCTGTTTTGCTGATGTGTTGATTGATTGTGTGTGATGTTGTTTGTTTTGTCTGCTATGCTGTTGTGTTAATTGTTGCCTTAATTGAAGTGCTGTTTGTAATTACCTTCACACCTCTGTGTATGCATTCATTCCAACGTTTATACTGAATTGATTTTCACATTCTTACCTGCAAACAAAACCTCTCCTCCCACAAAACCAACAACTCGCCAACAGTTCCATCGACAACGATCCTGACTTGGATAACATTGAAATGTTGGACAAGGACATGGAGGAACAATACTTTGATGACGACGATGATGATTGTGGTGATGATAATGATAGTGTACATAATATAAAGGATGAGTATGATTATTAGAAACTGTTTACGTTAGCATTCTACCTCGTTTAACATGACTGCAGCTTCTGAACAAAATTTTCAAATTGTTTTCAATTTTTTGGTTTATAAATAAACGTTTATAAATGTTGTTGAGTTTTTTTGGGTAAACATGGATAAAGTAATTGCCCTAAGTTGGTGTTTCGTCCTATAAGGGAAACTGTAAGCATAGAGGTCTATCTAGTTAAAATTTTTCACCATCATCAGCTATGGCGCAGTGAAAACTCACGTGTTCAACATTCACAACAGCACTTTAGCCGGGAACACATTACATAATAATAAAAATTCTATCCTGTACTTCTTATATATGTGAGTGAATGAGTCACAGTACAATATCATAATTGAGCTATGTATGTGAGATAGTCACAGTACAATTATAATTGTACTGTGACTAGCCTTAAACTAGCCGAAGCTATTCGTATAGAAAATCTCAAACCAACACCCAACGACAAAGTTAAGCAATACTACCGACTCATTAAATTTTGAATAATCCGGCTAATAACATTAATAATGATCATAATAATGTTAACTGCAATGATGTTGATTATGGTGATGACAATGCAGGTAGCGATGACCAGCAAGATGGAGATGGTGATGATGATAATAATAATAATAACAACAACAATATCATTAGCAACATTAACAATAATAAAAAAAATTAGTAATAAAAATAATAGTAATAATAATAATGGTTATGATGATAATGATATTAATGGAAACTCCTTTCTTTTGTCTAAAATAATTATCAACGTGTACAAAAAATGAAAACAGACTATGACGGTCGTCATGCAGTTACAATGAGTAGGTCAAAAAATAAAATCAGCTCAATAAAAGTGAAAATGCACGCTAACAACACTCTAATCGAGTTTCTTCTATCGCAATGGATAGCTTATGATGAAGATAGCATGGGGATAATCAATCCAAGCTATGACAAAATTGATCAGATAATGATAATAATGATGGAAACTCTTTTATTTCAACCAAAGTCGTTAAAATGAAAGAAAATACTACTACTACTACTACTACTACTACTACTACTACTACTACTACTACTACTACTACTACTACTACTAATAATAATAATAATAATAATAATAATAATAATAATAATAATCATCACTATCAATACTAGATGCCGAAATAAAAGATAAAAATTATTGCTTAAAATTGGTGCCATATGTTTTAACTTTCAACGTTTACCGTGACAACAATCCATTTATATTTGAATTTGTTTTTATTGTTTATATTTGAATTAGTTATAACTGTTTCCATTAATTTTTCTATTAAACTAACTTTATATATATTTGTAAATTAATAAACGCTGAAAAATCGGTGAAATTCATAAAAAACTATTTCTCTCGTTCTCTCTCTCTCTCTCTCTCTCTCTCTCTATATATATATATATATATATATATACATATAAATAATTAATTTATTATTACGATATTACGAACACAAACCAACCAAACCCTGTACCCCTGTGTACCTAAGAAAGCGTGTGTGTTTCGTGCTTGCTTTAAATAAAAAAGATGTTATCAAGATGTTACAGTTATAACTAATTCAAATATAAACAAAAAAATCATATGCACGTTTTATTAAACGCATTCTTTAAAAGCTTCCCTCCATCATACCCTTCAAAATGAGGTCAAATAGGATGCTTAAATAGTGCGAAATTATTTCTAAATGGCGGATGGCTCTCACATTTACATCTATCTCTTTTTTATTTGTTATATAATTTCAGGCATTAACTTGCAAACCATCGGAAAATCCGTGCAACAGTTCCCGACTCAATCCATCCTCAAAATAGGAGACTTGGTTAGTTTTTATCTGTATTATTCTTTAAAAAATCAGAACCTGACAGAGGCAGAAACTGTTACAACACGCAAGACAATAGTATAAAATGATGAGGGAAAAAAATAACTAAGTAAGAATGTTTAAACGTAATAAGCATGAAAAATAAAATAATGATATAAATAAAGAAAATAAAGGTTAACTAATTAATTGACTAGTTAATGACTTAGTAAGTTAATTAAGTGATTGTTAAAGACAAAAGAATAGACACAATTAAACAGATGACAAATATTTATTGAGTATTATTAATATGTTTAAGGTGTCTTGTGATGAAAGTCTTTTCCTAGTATGTTGACTGGATGGCGACTTGATAGTTATGTTTGCGCTGACGAAGGTTGTGTGTTGTAGTTTTATTTGCTGGTACTAAAGAATGGATGACGTGGTTTTTGTCATTTTCTACTTTCTTGAACAGTCTTGAATCGAGTTTGTTGAGTATCTGAGTGACGGTAGGATATGATGCAGGTAGATAGTTGAGGCAGATTAGTTTTTTGATGTGATATTGTAGTTGTTGAAGTTGTTGTTGTGTAGCGAAACCAGACCAGAAGGGAGCTGCATATTTGATACGTGAGATCATGTTATTACATCGAGACATCACATCTATGGTGAGATTATGAGCGATTCAGTGATGTCGAATAATTTGATACCTCTGAGACCATGTAAGCGGAATGTTTTGAGCGCGTAAAATGTTTGAAAACCTTTTGTGATGATGTGATTAATATGAGGTGCTATATAAAGTGTAGAGGTGAATGTGATGCATAATATTTTTAATTGATTTGTGTGAGTGATTGATGGGTGTTAATCTTTTACGACTATTGTGAATGATGAGTTTGAATGATCTATTGAGATTAAATGACAGATTGCATCGTTTTGACCATGTAGTTAATGAGTCGAGTTCTGATTGGATGGTCTTTGCGTTAGATGATGGGATGGCAAGGTAGGTGTCGTCGGCGTATTTGATGATTTGATTAGAGCAATGAAGAGTTTTGAGAGTAGAAGCATTAATGATAAAAGTTGATGGTCTAAGGTCAGAACCTTGAACTACGCTAGAAAGAAAGAAGTGATTAAGAGTAGCAAAAGTTTTAGAAAAGTCAAGAGCATTAAGATGAACATAATTATCATTTTTAAGGAAAGATGTTATAACAGAAGATAGAGATAGTTAGGGTTGAATCATCATCAGTGCTCCTT